AAAAAAAAAAAATCCTAAAGGGGGTTCTTTGGAATGAAAATTAATAAGAACAACTAGAGATTGACAGACGTGGCAATTCCACCCAGAACTCAGTCGACAGCAGAGTTCAGAACAGAACGTAATTACAACAACGAATTCAAAGGACTTGTGAGCCAATCTAATCAAAATATTAACAGTGTCAAAGAAGGGGAAAATATAGAAACAGAGATCCTGGTGGTGAGGAGGTCACATAGATTACAGGATAGAATGTTAAGTGCCATTGAGTCAATTCCGACCCATTTAAGACAAAAACCAGCATAAGAGATAAGGACACTATCTCATGATTAAAGGGTCAGTTGAGTAAGATGACATAACCATAATAAATATCTCCGCTCCCAGTGAAAGAGCACCAAGTAATATAAAGTGAACCCTACTAGAATTGTAGAAATAGATAAATCTAAAATTATAGTGGGAGATTTTAATACGCCACTTTTGAAAAGGGATATAACAATCAGAAAGCAACTAGACAAAGTTACAGAGGAACCAAACAACAGTCAACCAACTTGACCTCAGATGTGTACAGAGCCTTCAACCCAACAACAGACAATACACATTCTTTTCCAGAGCACAAGGAACATTCTCCAGAATTGACCATGTGTTAGGTCACAAAGCAAGCCTGCATAAATTTACAAACATCAAAATACTACAAAGCATCTTCTCAGACCACAGTGCCATAAAGCTAGAAATCAACAATAAGAAGCCCAAGGAAATAAAGTTGAATACATGGAAACTGAATTAACACTGCTGGAAAGCAACTGGATAACAGAAGAAATTAAACGTGAGCTCAACGAAGTTCTTAGAAGAAAATGAAAACATACCAAAATCTTTGGGACACAGTGAAAGCAATATTGAGAGGATAATTTGTTGCAATAAATGTGCCCATCCAAAAAGAAGAAAGAACCAAAATTAACACTACATCTCTAACAGTTAGAAACAGACCAACAAAGGGAACCTACAGTCACCAAAAGAAAAGAAATAATAAAGATTAGAGCAAAAATAAATGAAATAGAAAACAGAAAAACTATAGAAAGAATCAGTAGGACAAGAAGCAGGTTCTTGGATAGGAATAATAAAATAGACAAACCATTGGCAAACTAACAAAAGAAAAGAGTGAGACGACGCAAATAAAATGCATTAGGAACCACATGGGCCATGTCACATCCGAAAAAGGATATTAACAGAATACGATGAAGAGTTATACTCCAACAAATATAAAAACTTAGAAGAGATGGATCCATTTTTAGAAAAACACAACCTACCTAAACTCTACACAGTGAAGCAGAAGACTTGAACAGACCCATAAAAAAAGAAGAAATCGATCAGGTCATCAAAAAAATTCCCTTCCAAAAAAGTCCAGGCCCAGATGGCTTCACTTGTAGAACTTAACAAAGTTAAGTGTCTTCCTGGTAACAGTATTCAGAAAATAAGACAGTCTTAGAAGTGTACTGGGCGTATTGGAATTTAAGGAGTTTGTGATTTTTGTGCCTATCGAAATGGAGCAGGTATTTAAATAAATTGAAAACTACCCTACTTCATCACCTTGCATTAGCCTTAAAACTAAAACAAGCCATTCTGAAAGTTTTATTATCTTTGTTACTGTTACGTTGTGTTGAGTCGCTTCTGACTCATAGTAGCACCCTCTGTAGGGTTTCAGAGAGTGGCTGGTGGGTTTGAACTGCCAGCCTTCCAGGTAGCAATCCCATGTTTATCCTACAGTACTACACCAGGGCTCTAAAAAGTTTAAATATTTTTCACTATCTGCATAAGAAGTCAATGAAGCAAAGGAATACATTATAGAGGTATATAATGCAAAAGAATTAATTTGGATTAAAAAGGTAGGTCTTCAGTTGTGTGCTCTAGCACAATACAAAGTCCTTTATACATGATCATAGCCACAAAGCCAAAAAGTAGCAGAACATATTCCCTTGAATCAGTGGTTTGTTACTTTATACTAACTGCTATGGAGTCGATCCCGACTTATAGAGACCCTATAGGACAGAATCCTGGTGTGGTGCTGTCAGAACAATAGTGGACTGCTGCCCACAAGGTCGGCAGTTCAAACCCACCAGCTGCTCCTTAGAAACCCTCTATCAGGGTCACTGTGAGTCGAAACCTCCTGAATGGCATTTAACAATGTAGGGCAGAATATTTAACTACTCCATAGGGTTCCTGAGACTGAAATCTTTGATGGAACAGGTAGCCTTAAGTTTCTTCCACAGTACACTTGGTGTATATGCACCACTGACCTTGTGGTTAGCAGTCCAACACGTTGCCCACTGAATTACCAGAGCTCCTGTTAGATTGTAAAAAAATTTTGGATGTTTGCAGATTCCATTTGTGTATTTTCAGCTAAAACGTTTCAGATCATTTTTCAGAACTCTGAAACTTTCAGTTATCTCTTTGCTTTATTTGGTCAAGAGTATTGTTCTTTGCTTAACTTTATTTAGCATTACTGTTTATTTTCAGTTTCTTGTTTTTTCTGTTTACCCCAGCAGGCTATACTGTAGTTTAGATTTTTAAAGGATTATTAGCCAAGTTGTGTTTGTCTCTTCTTTAGGTTCCTAGAAGCCAAACAAAACTGACAATAATGCTTGAAAAACTAGGAATGAATTATGACGGGCGGCCTCACAGTGGACTTGATGACTCTAAGAACATTGCTCGGATTGCAGTTCGAATGCTTCAGGATGGCTGTGAACTCAGAGTCAATGAGAAAATGCATGCAGGACAGCTAATGAGCATGCCCTCTTCTTTACCTATAGAGGGCACTCCAGCTCCACAAATGCCACATTTTAGAAAATAACAGTTTTTGTGAGTCATTCATTTTAACTGGAGTTGCTACAAGGGTAGTAGCAGATGAATACTGATTGGATTAGCCATACAGTGCAAATTCAAGCACCTTAAACATTTAAAATTTTATTATAGTTATACATGTAGCTACATATATATGTATATGTATGTGAGCAGATTTTGTGGGGAGAACGTATTGAATTCTTTGTCACCAGCACTTTTGATATGAGCAGTATTTGTTGCAAAGTAACAGTTCCTGCTTAGAAATGAATTTTATAATTTGCGATGTCCAGGATGTATTCCTTTTGGTTTTAAAATACTAAGTTTAATGGGCTTCCCCTTGAATGTTGCCTTTTACTGATTTAAAAATATATAATGCATTTCTACATTGATATCATGAGATCAAATCATTTTGTAAAATACAGACAGCATTTTAGATCAGAAGGCAACCTTATTTAGTCCTATAGCTTTTAAGAAATATCGTAGTGCTTTTAATTTTTGAAGTTTATAAATGTTGTTCAGCTATATGTGGTGAATTTTATAAAGTACTTGTTACACAAATCTGCCTATGCTCTTTTCAGTTCATAATTACAAGACTGATAATGCATTATAGGTTCTGGTTCATTTACTGATGAAATGAATGAAAAATCAGAAGACAATGTAAAGAAATGTCATAGGAGCTGTAGTGGCACAATGGTTAAGTGCTTGGCTTTTAATGGAAAGGTCAGTGATTTGAACCCACCAGCTGCTCTGCAGGAGAAAGATGTGACAGTCTGCTTCAGTGATAGAGAACATAGCCTTGGAAACCTTAAGGGGAAGTTGTACTCTTTTCCATAAGGAGTTCTGGTGTCTCAGTGGGCTGCTCGTTGGACTACTAACCGCAAGGTTGGCGGTTTCAAGCCCATCAGCAGCTTCATGGGAGAAAGAGGGGGCTTTCTGCTCCTGTAAAGACTTATAGCTTCGCGTCAGAACTGTGAGTCAGAACTGGCTCAATGGCAGCAGGTTTTGCTTTTGTTTTTTGTTTTTGTATAGCTTGAACTTCATAATACATGGATAAATGATAGGGCTTTTTTGGACTTGGGGTTCTTTTGTTGTTGTTCCCCTCCCTCTTGTCATATATATCTGCCCCTATTTTCTTAAATCGAAGAGACCATACTTTGAAACAGATTTAAAATGACAGGTTATGATTCAATTTATGTTTGTATTCAACATTATTAGTGATGTTATTAAGTCATGTATGCATTCTACCATGTCTAATATTGGTCATTAATGGAGTTAAGTCAATAAAAGGTTTGATTTTATACAGTGAGTGACCACTACATGTTGACTAGTCAGTTCCTGCTGTTAGGTGCCATCAAGTCGATTCCAACTCAGAGTGACCCTTAATGACAGGTGAGCACTGCCCAGTCCTAGACCATCCTCACAGTTTCCTTGGCTGGAGCCCATTGTTGCAGTCACGGTGCCAGTCCATCTTCTCAAGGGTCTTCCTCTTCTCACTGATCCTCACTTTACCTAGTATGATGTCCTTCTCCAGTGACTGGTCCTTCTTGATAACATGTCCAGATATGTGACAAAAAGTCTCACCATCCTCACTTTTAAGGGACATCCTGGCTTTACTTCCCAGACTGATTGGGTCGTTTTTCTGGCAGCCCATGGTATACTTAATATTTTTCACTAACATCTTAATTCAGAGACATTAATTCATGTTCATTCTTCCTTATTCATTGTCCAACTTTTGCATGTAAATGAGGTCATTGAAAATACTATGGCTTGGGTCAGACACATCTTAGTCTCCAAAGTGATATCTTTTGCTTTTTAACACTTAATTTAAAAGAGATCTTTTGCAGTAGATTTGCCCAATGCATGACATCGTCTGATTTCCTGACTGCTGCTTCCATGGACATTGATTGTACATCTAAGTAAAATGAAGTCCTTGATGATTTCTGTCTTTTCTCCATTCATTGTGATGTTGCTTATTAGTGTAATTTTGGGGATTTTAATTCTACTTACATTGATGTGTAATTTATGTTGAAGGCTGTAGTCTTTGATCTTCCTCAGTAAGTACTTGAAGTCCTCTTCACTTTTAGCAAGCAAGATTATGCCATCTTCATACCACAGATTAGTCAGTTTTTTCTTCTTGTTGTTAGTGCTGTACAGTTGGTTCCAACCCACAGTGACCCTGTATAAGGTTTCCAACGAGCAGCTGGTGAGCTTGAACCGCTGACCTTGTGGTTCAAACAGACTGCGCATTAACCCACAGCACCACACCAGGACTCAATAGCTAATGCTAAAAAAATAAAAATAAAAAATGTGGTTATAGAGTTTGATAATATAAAACTCATCTAGAAGCTAAAAATCTTTGAATTTTCCCCTGTAACACAGTTTCAGTGACATGACTTATTTCTTTTACCTTCTAATGCCAATTGTGATGTTACTTTAATTATTATTATCAAATGAATTTTCTAGTACAGCTACATAGAATAGTCAGAATTAGGCATTTTCTTGGCATAAGAATTCTCTATATAATGCTGTTGGGTTTCTTACACGATTTCTGGAGCCTTGTTTTTTTGCCAGTACCTTCAGTGCAACTTGGACTTCTTCCTTCACTACCATCAGTTCTTGATGATATGCTGCCTCTTGATATGACTGAACATTGACCATGTCTGGTCAGTGAATGTGTGGTTTTGACCAACAGATATAGAATCTGCATAATAAAGAATAACATGCATAACAAGGCCCAAGAGTATTCTGTGTTTTAGAAAAACTGGTATGGATTATACTTAAACAATGAAACTCTATAGACATTTTAGATTGCCTATGCATGCCAGTTTATACACTATTCGTGGAGGCTTCAAAAGAAATTTGTGGGGAAATTCTATTATCTTTTTATTCCATTTTTCCATGGACTGTTTGAAGCCCCTTGTACAGCAATCTCTTGATGGAAATAAAATGTATACTCACATTTTTGTGAGGCAAAAATAATACTGGGTAATATTCTGTAAAGTATTGCTAAAAAGTTTAAATTTTTTTCAAGTCTTTAATGAGCTGCTCTCTGAGGGCATGTTGTCAGGTGCCAAATCGGCACAACTCGGAGATCCAGGCACAACAGAAAGAAGCACTGCCTGGTCCTACGCCATCCTCACAGTCACGTGGTTAGGCTTCAGCCCATTGCTGTTGCCACCTTGTCAACCCATCTCCTAGAGGTTTGTTTTTGTGTGTGTTTTTGTTTGCTGACCCTCCACTCTACCAAGCATAATGTCTCTCTCCAGGGACTGCAGAGGAAGTCTCTTATAAGGAGCATTCTGACTGTACTTCTAACACAGACCTGTTTGTCCATGGTGCTTTTAATATTCTCCAACACTGTAATGCAAATGCATCAATTCTTCTGAGTCTTCGTATTCACTGTTCATCTTCCACATGCATATGAAGTTATTGAAAATACCATGGCTTGGGGCAGGCACACCTTAGTCCTCAAACTGACATCTTTGCTAAGCAGATTTGCCTACGCAAATTTGATTTATTGTACACCATTTGATTTATTGACTGTTGCTTCCGTGAGTACTAGAAAAATGTTTACTCGTGTTTTAGTGACTTTTGGTTGAGCCAAGCAAAATGTAGTCTTTGACAATTTCAATGTTTTCTCCATTTATCTTGATGTTATTTATTGGTCCAGCAGTAAGGATGTGTTTTGTTTTGTTTTTTATTTACACTGAGGTGCAACCCATACTGAAGACTGGTCTTTGGTCTTCATCAGTAAATATTTCACTATCAGCAAGCCCCTTGATAAGGAGCTTTGGTGGTGGTGGTGTGCTGTGGAGTCAGTTTGGACTCCGACCCTCTACAGGGTTTCCAAGGCTGGAAATCTGTACAGGAACAGAAAACCTCATCTTTTCTCCCCCGCGGAACAGCTGGTAGTTTCGAACTGCTGACCTTCAGGTTTGCAGCCCAATTCGTAACCACTGTGCTACCAGAACTCTGGTAGCTTAGTGTTTATGAGTCAGGCTGCTAACCTCAAGGTCAGGAGTTCGAAACTACAAGCTGTTCCTTGTGAGAAAGATGAGGCTTTAGGCACCCACAAAGATTTACAGCCTTGGAAACCCTGTAGAGGGTCGCTATGAGTCAGAACTGACACCCAGAACACCACCACCATCAGCAAGCAAGGATGTTTCATATGCCTATCACAGGTTGTTAATGAGTCTCCCTCCAATCCTAACGCCATTCCCTTCTTCATTATCATCCAGCCTCTCGCATTATTTGCTTAGCATATATACTAATGCTGAATAAGTATGGTGAAAGAACACAACACTGGCGTGCACCTTTCCTGATTCTAAACTGTTATGCCCTTGTTCTGTTCTAATGACTGCTTCTTGGTTCCTCATGAGCACAATCAGGTGTTCTGGAATACCCATTCTTCGCAATGCTATCCATACCTTGTCACGATTCACACAGTGGAAAGCTTTTGAATAGTCTAAAGCACAAGTAAACATCTTTCTAGTACTCTCTGCTTTCAGCCATCTGACGTCAGCGGTGATATCCCTAGTTCCACATCTTCTGAATCTCTCTTGAGTTTCTGGCAGTTCCCTGTCATACTGTTGTAGCCAGTTTTTAATGGTCTTCAACAAAATTTTACTTGCAAGTGATACTAATGATATTGCTCTATGATTTCCACATTTCTCTTTGAGTCACCGATCTTTGGAATGTGCACAGGCCAGGTCATGGCGTAGAGGAGTGAGTGCTTCTAGTGCTGCATCAGTTTGTTGAAAGATTTCAATTTGTATTCTGTTGATTCCTGGGACTTTTTGTTGTTGTTGCCAATGTCTTCAGTGCATCTTGGATTTCTTCCTTCAGGATCATTGGTTCTTGATCATATGCTACCTCTTGATATGGTTGAGCATTGACAATTTCTTTTTGGTACACTGACTGTATTTACCTTCCATCTTCTTTTGGTGCTTTCTACATCATTCAGTATTTTGCCCTTGGAATCCTTCAGTATTGCAAGTCAAGGCTTCAGTTTTTACTTCAGCAAGTTGAGCATGTTTTTCTATTGGTTTTCTAACTCCAATTCTGCATATTTCATTATATTACTTTGTCATTTTGATCTGTCCTTTAAATTTTCTATTTAGCTCTTTTACTTCCTCATTTCATTCATTCACTTTAGCATCTCTATGCTGGAGGGCAAG